TGCTCAGCCTCTGAAAAGAAAGAGATTTGACGCTTCTGGTTCACTATATGACCTCTTCGTTAGAAGACATATGGCTTGGAAAACGTGCTACCCAATCCATACCTTCTCGGCCTTCCGCCGCACTTAACTCCCCTTTCTCTTCTACGAAAAAGGGAAGTCGGACATTGAAATGACTTCATCTGAGAAACGGTTTCTAAATGATCTTCCAGTCAATACTTAGTGTTCTCCATGCGCGAGTATATTTTTTCAAAGTCTCCAACTGTGGTATAATTTCGCAGGTTCCCTGGGACCAGCTAATAAGCGATGCAGAACCTGTGCACCGTTGTTAGAGGAATCAACGAAGCGCTGTAAAAGAATGAATGCGGTTAATGTGGATGTTTGTTTAATGGTATGGTTTCAGTCACCGTCCGGTGATCCAACGCCATCTGAAGCATTTGGATCTCGGGAACGGCGGTCTTCCACCCAAGATAAGGAGAATATTCCGAAACGTGGCAAAGTCAAACAGACTACAGCATCGCCTGCTCGTTATACCCCGGCCGGATCAACGCCACCATCTTCATCACCACCGCGAGAACCGACGCCACCTTCCTTGGTATGTTTCTTTTCGGTATACTGATTTTCTTTGTGTGACTGATGCTTGAAGTCAGAGCTTTTTTGAAATGTAATTATGCGAGTTTTGCTTTCTCCATTGGTTTTGGCAAGAATTCAGCCATGCCAAGCACTCGCTTAAATCGAGTTCATCTCTAGACATTTCCCTGGTGTAGGTGATGGGATATTTTAAGCAGCATTCAGAGCATACGAAGATTGTTTTCATTCACGTATTATGCGTTCTTCACAGTGGCGATAGGAATGTGGCACCCTTTTATACTTCTGAACTCTCTTTAGGCTTTGAGGAAGTGTTCAAGCCTGTGTTCAAGCCTTGCAAGGAACAAGGAAAACGAGGGTTTCATGTTCCAGAAGTTAATGCTCCAAAGAAAAGTGCAGTTATCGATTTGGCGGCTTGGGAGAATAGGAGAGTTGGCGATTCGACTTTTGTGAGGTCAAAACGTCTAATCGCCGATTTTGGAATCCGTCCTACCCACGCTTCACAAAATATAAACGCAGCCGTACAGCGCGAGCGTTTCAAGCGGGTAATTGGCAGTCAATTTTAGGGTGAACAAGTGTGACCAGCTTTAACGCTAAGCTTTCCTTACATTTCATCATGAACAATGAGATGTCCTTCATAGGATTGAGCCAAAAACGTATTTGATCTGTTCATTTGAAAAGTATAACGTAGAAGCATGCGAAGACTTAAAACGTTGGAAAGTATGATCGGTTTCTGGGTTTATTTAGGCTCATACGTGATTAGGCTGTATTATTCTTATGGTTGCAGGATTATAAAACTCCTCAGCCCGAGCCCGTTTCTGAAGCGAAGCCGCCGTCGTCGAGAACAGTGGAGCAGTCAAAGCCATTTAATTCTATTTATAATCAAGATACAGAGTCCAAGTTACTGCGGTGAGTTTTCTACTGAAGATTGAGTTGTCATCGTATTTTTGTCCTCAGTTATTCAGCTGGTATGTTTAGGTTATTATGCGGTAATGAAGATAGCGGGGCAGGTATGGTCCCGGCACCTGCACCCGTAAGTGAGGCGCCGGCTCCTCTTGTAAATTGGCAGACATTGCTGGGTCTTTCTCCGCAAGCTGCAGCCGGCAATCACACGACACCGACATCTTATGCTTCTTCCACGCTACATCCGCCGACTACACCACAGAAATCACTGGTCTCAACGCCACCGCCAGGTAAATGACGGGCTTAAAAATAATCGTGATACTTTCCTCCATATATCATAGTCATCTTAAATCGGACATTCTCAAACCAAATCAAGCCAAAACCAAACTAGGTTCCCTGATTTTCCCTATTTGGTGACGGGGGGTGACAATAACGTGCCAGCTCGGACTCTAGCATGCCCATTTGGATAGTTTTTTAGAAGTGGGCGGGGTTTCTGCGGAATTGGCAGGGCTTCTAAAAGCGGGCGGAGCCACCTGTTACAGCCTTAAATGGCGAAACTTCTGAAGAATGGATGAAAACCCCTCAAAAAGACGCAAGGTGGGCGTTGGTGGGGCAGGGCTCATTGTGCCAACGTAAACATGCTTCTCTATGAATACATTCGTTTTGCGAAGGATGAATGTGAAGAGAACGAGGTCAGAAAAAGTCAGGAAATTTCACGGTAACTTCACCAAAGGCGGGCGAAGTCGTATCAGTCTCGGTACCAATATTTTCAAGTTAGACTGTGTGCGCGAAACACCAAAAGTGCAAAAAAGTCAGAGGAACAAAGCTCACAAAATAAATTTTGGAAAAGCGCTACCGCGCTGAGAAGTTTGCGGAGGTGTTGGAGCTGGTCAGTGCCCAAGTCTGGTCTAGTTATTGTAAGGGGTTTGTCCGATTCCGTTTGGAAACTATCCGATTCGGTTCGAAAAGAAAAGACCTCCTGTTGATGGCTCTTAAACGAATGCTTTTCAACACAGATCCAACCATAGCGCTTCCGCTACAGCATCAGCTAAGTAACTGTGCGCTTTACTTTGGAACTTTTTAACTTGACGAATACTAATCGGTGTTTTAGGTCTTGGAGGCTTCACATCGGATGACGACCTTGGGTTCGATCCGTTCAGTGAGTCATCGAAAGGCTTGGCGAGGTTGCTCGAAGAAGAGGAAAAGGTTAAGCAGCCAACGTGAGTTTTTGGTTTATAGCGTTTCTTGTGTGATTCTGTTTGGAATATTCCACTATTGGTTTCAGAAGTGTTTTCTTTCAGAATTGCCTCCTATATGAACCAGCATATCCTCATGCAGCAGCACCAACAATCATCTGCAGCAGCAACAACAGCATCAACAACAGCAGGCATTTTCATTACGGGATTTGTGGAGTCGTCCATCATCACTGTTCTCTTCGGTGAATGCGGCTCAGCCACCTCAAGGATCACCATTGGACATGTTCGCTGGCTTGATGAACAGCCATCAGCAGTCACATCATCAGCAACAACAACAACAGCAGCAGCAACAACAACAACAGCAACAACTGCATCACCACCTGCATCAGCAGCCTAATCATCACCACCCGCAACATCATCAAGTACATCAGCCTCAACATCGACAACAGTTTGATCCTTACTGTGCACCTCCTCCCGGACTTACACCGCCACAGCGATCCTCGATTTCGTCGCAGTCGATTTCCGATTGGCAGGAAGGTTTGAAAGCACTGCTCCCGAATGTGAATGTACGTTTCGTGAGTGATCTCGAAGGTGCTCACAACGGCAGTAGTTTGCATCATCTTCACCAACAACACGCAGCCGCACATCACTCGTCGTTCGGTGCCAGATGGCCGCCATCAGCCTACGGTCTCGATGTCAACGGACGCACAAATCCGCATCACATTGTTCCCCACGCTGTTCCACCACCACCCGGTTTCTCGGTGCCGAATCGATGAGTCTGACGAGAAGCATCACCACCAACCTTCGATCCCGACCCATCCCCTTCCCCTCTTCACCCGACGGATTTCTTCCATGACAACGTGACGGCTAGGTCGTGTAGCGAACAGGCTACATTGCCGCTGTCGTGTGTCATCCTGACCCATTTCAACTCTGTCACCCCCTATCCACCTACCCCCTTCACTCTTGTAATGTCTCATTTTCGGTTGTCAATAAACCCTCGCTAGTCGAGTTACGAGGTCGTTTGATGGCGTTTCACGTTAAGGGTCTCGCCTTCATCGACCTCGATGGGGCTGTTTGAATAAAAATTTACTTTTCAATGTTATGTGTTCATTGATTGTAAAAGCATAACATATCGGGAAAAAATTATGTGCGAATTCAAGACGATTGTCTAGTGAAACACTTTGCTTGTAACTGGAATGAAGCAAAATGGGGTATCGTGATTACCAGTGGTCTATTACGCTGGGCGGGCTCAGACAGTTGGGCCAGTTGGGAGGTATCGGGTATTTTTCTTGCGTCTAATTAGGGGCATAAGGCAACATAGCTACTTTGCCTGCGCTGTCACTAGACAGAAAGGATATTAGTCATGTCGAAGTGGTAACCCTTGGGTATGTTCTAACCTGTAGTTCGCTGCGGAAGAAGGGCTGTGTGGATCAGTTTGGCGTTTTGCCACACCCGTTCTCCACCAGTTGTAGAAGCGCGAAAGTGCCAAGACTGTTATATCGATCGTATCACTCGCTTCCTACCAACTGTTGTCGTAATACCTGCTTCAACAACTGGCAGAGAACGGGTTTTGGCGACGTCACACTTGTACTGCCTGACACGCCCCTTCATCCGCAGCGGACTACAGTTCAGCTTGCTTGTGAGATGGCTCATCTGAATGGTTTTGTAGGGCTTGCGATGCCACAGAAAGATCTGAACTAGTGTTTGTTCAAATGTCTTTTTGACCTTCTTACGGGTTTCTCTATATGTAGAGAGCTGGACTTGTTTTTTCCATTCACTTCTACTATTCTTACTCGAGAAATTTTGAAAAATATTCACAGTTGATCGTAACAGTAAGTCAGATTTGGAAAGAGTAAGTCTATGGATGGTCAAGCACCCCTTCCAGGTACCTGTAGTAAACAAGACAAGGTTTGGAACACTGAGAGGTTTCGCTGCTGGATAGGAGGGGGCGTCGTGGGAGACCTGGCGATTTTTTTTCGATAACTGACTTTGTTGCAAGTGCGTCTTACCCTCCCAAACTATGGGTGGCAGCGCACCAGTTTTATTGATTTTTATGATTGGTCGGATTTGCCTGGTTTCTTCTCAACGCTGTTCGGCGGTGTTCGTGTGGTGGTCGAACGGAAGGGTGGCGCTTTTATTCGTAAACGAGAATGGAACTATCTCTCTCGTTGGTGTTGCCTTACCCTCTGGTTCAAAAAATGAATGCTTGGAAAATTTTATCCAGATGACCGCGAAATAGGCCGCTTGGCAGTTGAACAACCTAGTAGGTGACCCTTCCTTCAAAGGGGGTGTAGCGGCGGGTTCTGGCTCAAGAACAGGCGTATTTTGGGGAGGGGGTAGAGAGATTGTATCAAGCGAGAATTTCTCCCTTTTCCACCTAGCTGTTGAGGGTTCCCTGGCAGAGGTGTGAATAATAACGCCTGATCGATCTACTTGAACGTGATGCTTATGTGGGAGTTGGGAAAGACAGCTGCGAAGGAGGAAACTGTTTGTGCTTTGAGATCGTTGCTGAGACTGACAGTGGTGCAGAGAGCTGAATATATTTCGGTTTCAGCCGTTGGCTCAGTTGATAGCATTATGGTTTTTCTTC